TTATTAAAATTATTTTCCAATTAGCGAATCGATTTTTCTTTATATATATATAAACAACAATATATGAATAACATAACATAATAACTCCTCAGGAATGGCAACACATGGGGGATACCATTGGCGAAATATTTTACACTGTTATGTCCATGGTACTGCTCATGTCTATGGACGACGGATACCACTTTCCATCAGGTGGGCCGTCAGCTTGTTTGCCATTCTAAGTTGCATGATAAAAAAAAGATAGAAAAATATATATTATTTTAAATAAGTCTTATTATATTATATTTCAAATAAGTATATATTTGTGGTAACCGCTAAAAAATAATAATAATAAAATATTTATTCTGACACTTTAAACGAGATAAAAAGTTGCACAAAAACTTGTAGAAAGCACTTGCTGTCGGTTTTTATTAGAAAAAAAAAAACCTTTAACGGGTGCATCGCATCGTTATGTCTACACCAGCCCTTTCGTTATGAGTCATTTGTGTAAAAAAAAGTTACATCACTTTTTTTGTCATAATACTATATATATAATCATGTGCTTATTATTTTTTGTTTATCCGACTCCAGAAAGAAGGAGGTTTACAAATTCGGTTGTATTTTTTAATTATTTATTACCTTATAATTCCGTCCGTTTATAAACCGAGGTAGAAAATTCTTTTTTCACCTGAAAGAATATTTTTACAGATTGATCTTATAGAAATTTTATCAAAACCAATTCAGCAGTTTAGTTGTGAAGCCAAAGTAACTGGATTTATTACCATTGATAGATAGATAGATACTCTTTATTGTTTCCTCAAAAAGATAACAATAGTAAAATTATTATAAATATAAATAATTACAAGAAATAATCACAATGAGAAAACAATGGGCGACCTTATCGCTAAGAGCGATCTCTTCCAGACAACCTTGGAATGGAGAGGAGTAATTATAAACAGTTTGATCGGAGGCACAGTGAAATTCTATTATTTCTTAATATAGATATATGATTTATGTACTAATGTAAAATATATATCTCTACTCATTATATACACTTATATATATACACACATGTATATTGTGTGTATATATATAAGTGTATATGTACATGTATATGTTATATATATAACATCTACACAGATACATAAAAATATATAAATACTGCCTACATACATATATAAAACACTAGGTTATAAAATTGAAGTCTTTTTTGAGACACAATCTTAACCCTTACCACTCCAAGCCTTTTTTCTTTTTATTCCACCAGCTCTAAACTATAATTACGTTTTTTTTAACTTTTAGGGGCTTTTTCGAATTTTGTAAATAATATTTTATGAGTAATTACAGGATACTATATTATAATTCTTAATTCTAATCATTATAATCCCTTTTGGTATGGTACAACATTAATGTCGAGTGACACTCGACATTGGAGTGGAAAAGGTTAATTAATGCTTAATATTTTTATGTGTGGGGGGGAAAGGGATTGTTAATAATGAGGTTGAATAGCCCTATTACTAGCAATATACCGTATCAGGTCGACCTCCACGTGGTTCCCCCTGGAAACCGTCGTGACTAATTCTAGTTTAATTTGTCAGGATGGGCTAACTGACCTACTTTCATCTACATCTGTCATCCCTCACTGGTGCCCCGCCAGTGTATACCAATAGCGCAAACGGGGTTACCATAACATTATCACCCATTAAAAAAAAATTATGTTTATTTTTTTATTATGGGTGTTATTTGTTTAAATGGGTGTTAATGTTTTTTTTAATAGGTGATAATGGAATGGTAACCCCGCCTGCGCTAACGGTATATGCTGGCGGGGCACCAGTACGGGATAATATAGGATGAAACAGGTCAGTTGGCCCATAGTGACGAATTCAAATAAAATTAATCAATGGCAAAATTTTCGAAGTTTTTAGATTCCCAATACTAATAATGCCTTCCTCCCGCCCTTGAAGGTTACCATTGCTATAGTATAGACACCACACATTATCACTATGACTACCGACGCAGTGTATTTTGTCACGTCCATGGTGCAGTTATTGTCTAATAAGGACGAATGGATGGATTGTTAGTAATGGGGAGGTTAGTCCACATTGCTATCAATATACCCTATCAGGTCGACCTCCACACGACTCCCCCTGGAAACCATCGTGACCAATTTATCCCTGAATTCGTCACGATGGACTAACTGACCTACTTTTTCATCTTCACCAATCATCAGTAGTCGCTCCGCCAATGTACACCGATAGCTGGCGGGGATATCATTCCATTATCATCCATTAAAAAGACGGATGCCACTTCCTATTAGACGGGACGTCACTTTTCTGTACTTTTTTTATACGACTTAGAATGGCAAACAAGCTGACGGCCCACCTGATGGAAAGTGGTAACCGTCGCCTATAGACATGAGCAGTACCATGGACATAACAGAGTATACTGTTTCGCCCATGATATCCCCTATACGTTGCCATTTCTGAAGACTTAGGTATTATTGCTCTGTACTTTCAATGAAAAAACTGCATAGAAATAGATTGATGCAGGTGATAAAAAGAAGTTAAAAAAAAAAAACTAATATTGTAATAAATATTTTACTGAACTAGGTGTTATTTTGCGGAAGTCCATATCACTGGTTATTTCATTAGAATTATTTTGTTTAATTCCGTTACCATAAGTATATTTATTTTTTTGTTGGCAGTCACATACGAGTACATACTAATAATAGCGGAATTAAACAAAATAATTTTCACTTACCAACAGGTGAGCCGCATGCTCGTTTGCCCCCTGTGTTGTAAAAAAAATCAAATAACAAGTAAAATGGTGGTACGCAACTATAAAAAAGAATCTAAATTTAATTTTATATTTTTTTATATATATAATACATACATATATTTATATTTTTTGTTATTCATCTAGATCACAAGTCCATGAAATCTGTGAATGTATTTATGCGTTGCCAAGAAAAATTAAAATGACAGAATGATTCAATAAAAACTTATTTAAAAGGATAATGTATGGCGCCAATAGAGAATAACCTTACAAAACTATTAAATATCAAATAGCTGAATATTTTCAACTTTATTGCTAAAGTAATAAGGTTATAACCCTTTGAAAGGGCTCCACTGGGATGCAAACTCACAAATGTCGCTAGATCCACATGTGTTTAGAGCTTCAGTAGGTTTTTTTTCGCTATACCGGGATAAGATGGTTACCCGTGTTATTCCTTATTGAGACACTAATCTGTGAGGTTGTGTTTAACATTAAAAAAAAATTGTGTCAACTTTCAAGTTCGCGCCAATATTTGAAATGTTACGTTCTTTAAGTGATGCAACTTATTAAAGTACATATTTTTGTTTCATAATTGATGAAGAATTTGTCTATGCCGGTGGTAAAAGGCTTTTATTGAAAAATAAATAGGTAAGTGCTTATTATTAAATTTTAAAAATTAAAATTAAAAATTATTTTTGAAATATTAATTATGGATATAATGATGTCATTTGTTTTATTTTTTATTTGTGTATGTACTTAAATATAATATTTGTTTTATTTTTATATTTTATTTTTTTATTTATTATATTATAATTTTATTTATATTTACAAAGTTACTTAATATTATTACATAATGATATTAAATTAGTATATGTATATATTATTAATAAAAAATAAATGTCTTTTTCATAAAATCTATTAAATTAATAACAATTTTATAGGTATTTCATTGAACATTTACGTGCGTTTTTTTTATATTTTTTTGTTAAACTTAATAATTTCCTATTGATATTAAATTATCGTATGTGATTTATTATATATAAAGAGAAATATTGTTGTACATTTAATTTTTTTTTATTTCATAGTATTGATAATTTGAAATTTTATCGAAATATTAAATCTATTTCTAATATTTTTTAAGCGACAATTTTTTTAATTCTTATATAATATTTGTATTTTTTGATGTTTTCAATATAATTCAATAAATATATAAAAAATAATAAATAAATATATAATTTAAGAAAAATAATAGCAATGTGTAAAATTATTATTAAATCGTACGGAAAGGTAAACAACTATTTAGTCAAAATTAATCCATAGATTAAATATAATAATTAGCAATTAGAATAGAAACAAAAATAATAAACTGTTGTCATTAAAATACTCCGAAAGTTTATTTCTTTTGAATATAAAGAGAATCATTAAAATCAGTTCACATTTGGCGAAAATATCAGGCAACTATATATTATTCAGACAACAAAAACAATTGTTAAATTTTAACAGAAGAATTATATTTTTAATTAGATTTATTAATTGAATCTTAAAATATTAACAGAATTAATATAATAAAGGAAAAGTACTTATTATATATTTTTTATTTCTAAAAAATACTAGTGCAAATTTAATATACTTACTCTATTAATGTTTTATGTTTTATTTATTTATTCATTAGTGTATATATGTATACACGGTGGACTTAATGCTAAAGCGTTCTCTCCCAGTCAACCATAGGAAAATTTCAGAATATTCGAATGCAGTACTAGTAATTATTGATATACAAACATATATTTTATTGCTATATTTTAATTACTTGAATATACTTAAAGTATTATTTAATATTGCATCATTCTATTTATTTATTGTTAAATCAAACCCAATTAGAAGTAGGTAAGAAGTAAACAGAATAAAAAGTATTAATTAAAAAAAAAATAACATCCGATTTATTTATATCCGCAACGAATGAAATAAATACAAAAAAAAAAAAAAAAACCAACGTCTGTATAACGGACATAAGGTAGCAACAAGTTGTAACACGTGTCTCAAGAAATAATAAGAGTAAAAAGAGACTATTAAATTTATAATTCGCAGATGTCCGCGCCACGCGTGATGAGTCGCAGAGAAAGTTTATTTTTATAATAATAGCAATAGCAAAACCATATGCGGGAAGCCGAGCAAACACCACATGCCAATTACAAGCACCTAAGCTAGAGATTACTGAACTTTTGTAGGTAAATGAACTTGCCAATATGGCTGATTACGACATCGTACCTTGTTACGACGAAGATGAACTGTTTCAAGAGAAAAACGACACAGTCACAGATCTCCATGCTTATTATATGACACAGTTTAATCTAGAATTAGAAAACGCCAATAAAAAATGTAAAGACAATTTTAAATATGGCGTAGAAGAAAGTTTTGATTTTGAAGTACTTCACAATTGGGATACTGGAGCGAATAATAACACATCAGGATTCGAAGCTATAGATGAAGTTATTGAAAGTAACATTAACGACCAGAATATTAAAGAAGTTTTATTAGATCTTGATAGTATTGATTTTGATGAAAGAAGCAATACATATAACAATTATAAAGAGAACGAAAAAAATAATTATGATATCAATAACGATTACATAGATGATGAGTCGTTGATAGACGAATTATGCAGAGAAGAAAATGAAAATTGCCCACTTACACCAGAAGGATTCAATGAGGAATACTTTACTTCGGCAACTAATGATAAAAATAATATATTACCACCTATAGAAACAGCATTTTCTAAAAGGTATTGTCATTATAATAATATAGATGAACATAATGAGCAAGAGAATTTTGTTAATCAAATAAATAATACAATCATTCCTAATAATGATTTGCCACTAATTAATAGTATAGAACATTATAGTTATCCAAATAATATACTTTATAATTTGGAAAATGATAAAAAATATACACTTCCTGATACCCCAACAAGTTGTACAGAATTTAATTATGATAAAAATGAAAGAAAACTCTCAGTTTCTGAATCTATAGAGAGTGATATTCAAAGCTCAAGTTATTACGATCACGATGGGACCTCGGAAACATTTGATGAAGAAGATTTATTTATTAATTTAGATGACTTTGGTTTGATAATGGAAACAGAAAATGAAACTGGCAATGATAATAGGAATAATTATCAAAACGAAAGGAAATCAGAGAAAGACAAAAGTCAAGGTACATTTATAAAAATTGCACTAATAACAATTACGATTTCTGTATTAATGTTTAAAATATGAAATAATTAATGGTTTGTCTTTTTAGGTGAAAGAATTTGTTTATGGGAACAATGTTATGAAAGATATCCTAACCAAAATACTCTAGTGGAACACATTGAAAGAGCTCATGTCAACACATATAAAGGTAAACACCTTTACTTTTTAACTATAATTATTTAAATATTGATTACTTCATCTACGCTACCAAAACTACAAATTGAAAATATCATATCTTACATTTAATTAACCTATCTATTTATTTTAACTAATATTGCTTTTCTGTCATGTTAACGCTTATAAAAATTTCTGTGTTTTAATATAATTTTGTTGAAATCTAAATAATTTTTCTCCAGGCGATGAATTCAGTTGTCTATGGCGTGACTGCGCACGCGCACGGAGACCATTCAACGCGCGATACAAACTACTCATTCACATGCGAGTGCACTCTGGACACAAACCCAATAGATGCCATGTAAGTATCACACAAACACACACAACCATAAACACACATACACACACAGTTACTGCGACACAGCCATTTTTTGTCCACTGCTGAACGTAGAAAGGTTTTGCAAGTTGTTACCAAATTTGACAGGGAGTTTGGCAACCGCAGTTTGGCTTTTGGTGATCTTTTAAGAGGGACACTGCTGTACATCCCTTGACAATTAAGTTCCTTTAGTTGCCTCTACCTACTTGCCAAGCATGACAATTACTGGCCAAACCTCCCCTTATGGGGGAGGTATATGTTTAGCAGTGGACAGTTAATAGCTGATACGATACGAAGGTATTTTAATAAGTTTATATTTTCTACAGCATCCAGGATGTGGAAAAGCTTTCTCGCGATTGGAAAACTTAAAAATCCACGTGCGCTCACACACAGGAGAGCGACCGTATGCGTGCCCAGCTCCTCACTGCAGAAAGGCTTTCTCCAACTCCTCAGATCGAGCCAAGCATCAAAGGACGCATTTTAATGCTGTAAGTATAAGTCGCATTTTGTAATGATCTTTTAAACTTTACTGCAAGTTTGGATATAAAATTGGACACTTTGATAGTGTCATAGATGATGTAATTTACCATTTTATTTTAAAATATAAATAATTTTATTTTTAATAAACTGCCAACGAGTGTAGCTTATTGTTTGTTGGCAGTTTATTAAAAATAAAATCGCACATCCTAAATTTTGACTGATAGAGAATGCCTATAGCATTAAGTCCGCCTTTTATACCACGTTTTATTTGTTAAATTCATCTTTAATGGCTTCGAAATCTAAGGCTCGCTTCCGAAGAATATACTTCGTATGAACGGTCACATTTAGAATAAGCTCTGAAAACTTTTTCAAAAGTCGAGAGCCTGGAACTTCTAAAAAAAAAGGATTTCTAGACTGCAGCTAATACGCAAAGCCACTGCTATTGTAGGCAAACAGTATTTGCTCTTACAGTTGGACTATACACTTGCTTGCTGCTTCGATATAAAAAATATTCAATACTATAGGTATATTTGTAACTATAACTTCTCCTTTCTTTCCCAGAGGCCTTATGCATGCGGGGCTGCTGGATGTGGTAAACGGTATACAGATCCATCATCCCTTCGTAAACATGTCAAATCTCATCCTCACATAACCAACGTGCCCAGAACTTGCCTGCCGCCTTCCCGGCCCATGAAGAGACCAGAACAGGAACAACTAGTTCCAAGCTCTCCAGCTAAGTTGGCTACGTTGAGATCTATTAGAGACAAGTTGACAGTTCCCAAACTTCAGAGATTATAATTCAAAATATAATTAGGAATAAAGGACGACAATTTATTTTTGAAATGGACAGCTTTTTGTTTATATTGAAGATATATATATGACTGATTACTATACCATAAACATACCTAATATGGTTTATCTTGGATATACCAGCCCTATTGTTGGCAATATACTCTGACAGGTCGATCTTTACGCAGTTTTCCTTGAAAACCATCGTGGTTAATTCTTGTGAAATTCGTCACGACGGGCCAACCGACCTGCTTTCATCTTCACCCATCATCTCTCACTGGTGTTTCGCCAGCGTATACCAATAGCGCAGGTAGGGTTACCATCCCATTATCATTCTATAAAAAAAATAGGATTCATAAGGAAAAGTGTTATAATTTTGTCAAACAACTGAATAGCGACCAAATACAAATTGTTAATAATTACATAATCTGTTATTACTGTTATAATTATTGTGACGTTTATAATGAGATAGTTAAATTTATATGAATAAGTACTTATTTTATATGTAAGTAAATTGAAGCTCAATCAAAGACTGATGCAATTAAATTGGCTCAATTAATTAGTTTAAATTTGATTTATCGTGCTGAGAAGCACTCAAAATTATTTTGTAATTAAAGTATTAAATAGTAACTAAAGTATTATTAAATGGTATTCATAAAATAAATCTTGTAATAAAAAGATATGAATAATACGGAAAGTATGCAGTTACATTCTTTATAGAATAATAAATAGTGGAATCTTTAGAAGTTCAATGAATTTAAAAAAAAAAATAGCAGCAATTAGAATATTTTTTATGAATTATATAATTCATTTGTAAAAATTATATACATAAATGAAATAAAAGTTTTAATTAAATATTAATTAATATGTCTTTTTGAATAAATAATGAAAGCTTTTTAAAAATTGTACTAGTAACATTTTATAACCATGTAACTACATAATAAAATCACTTTGTAACTTAGTAACGAAACGTAAACCAGGTTCTACTTCTATCGTTATGTAAATAGGAACTTTTTATATTAGATATTAATTACTTATATGTTTTAAATTGTAGAAATTAATAATGGTATGTTTGTGTCGAACACAGATCTCACTTGAAAGACATGCAAACGTTTAGCATTTTTACAAATTTTAACTTTAAAGTTTTGTATAAGAAGTTTCTCCAATTACACCTATCATTGCTCAATTTTTATATGATTTATATATTTCTTTTTATTATATGTATAAGTAATATTAAGTTATTAATTAAATTAGTTCTAGATTAAGTACAAAATGTACAATTATGCTTTCCAAAAGAATCTCCTGAAATAATTAAGTTATTTCATAAGATTTTTCCATTAATAAGATCTCTAATTTAGTATTTTTTAATATTAATATCTTAAAAGACAGAAACTGTCATTAATATTTGTAAATGCTCATTAAAATTGAATAAGAAATATATGTAAGTTCAAATTATTTTGCTTTTTTTTTTGAACTCGACTCAATTTGGCACAGGTAAACATAATTTTTGAAATAATATACAACCTATGTTACTCTCTGATAATGTAGTTTTCTATAGGTGAAAGAATTTTCAAAATCACTTGAGTAGTTTCGGAGTTCGTTCGTTACAAACAAACAATCAAATCTTTCCTCTTTATAATCCTTAATAATATTATAAATGTGAAAGTTAGTTTGTTTGCTTGTCTACAACCTTTTAGCGTCTTAACAGCTTAACCAAATACTCAGCTATTATTTTTTTGAACCGACTTCATAAAAACGATTCTCAATTCAGTCGTATTTTTTTTTCATGTTACCTGATAATTCCATGAGTCTGGAAAATCTGGGAAAAATTTTTATATCTGAAAGGATACACTTATTTATTGGTCCCATAGAAATTTTATCAGAATCTATCGTTGAAATCGTCACGATGGGCTAACTTACCTGCCTTTTCATCCTCACCTTTCACCGCTCACTGGTACCCCGCCAGTGTACGAGTATACCGATAGCGCAGGCGGGGTTACCATGCCATTTTCACCCATTAAAAAATATAATTATATAATTAAGCTTTAATGTAAACATACACAAAATATGTAAAATAAATAAATATACATACATATAATAAATATATACATAAAATATTACTGTAAGAATTAATTAACTGTATTAAAAGAGCAAATACATCACTACATAGTATAAAACGAAGTCGCTGTCGCTGTCTGTCCGTCTCTATGTATGCTTCAAACTTTAAAACTACGCAACGTATTTTGAAGCAGTTTTTTTTAATAGATAGAGTGATCAAGAGGAAGGTTTATATGTAAAATACATGCATAATATAGTAGAAAAACACTGATAAATTTAGAGGTTTCTAATGTGATGTGATGTAATGTGCACCCGTGCGAAGCCGGGGCGGGTCGCTAGTAATAGACACTATCTCAATTCGAGGTTACCCTCTCTATTAAATCGAGACTTCTGAACACAAACATCCATACAATGTGGTTATCTCAAACCTAGTTGCAGGTCATTGAAAATTTACAATTTTCTTTAATTATATACACACGTGTATATACAATATATAAGACAGATGCCGATAAAATATTATCAGAAGTATACTTCTCTTAGGACCAGAAAGATCTGTGCTTCGGAGGCGACATGCAACTTTTGGTTCTAACGGCGTTTATCGGTAAGTGATTTTAAGTTGTTCTTTAATAGTGTACTATAATAGACTACTAAGATCGTAAGTTCGAAACTAGCTGATGCAAAATCTTTGTGTCAGTTTAAATTTACAGTGAATGAAAATATTGTTAAGAAACCAAATTCATTGCAGTGACAGCGGTAGACTTGTTTGCTCTAACCTTCATGAAATAATTAAATTTAATCAAATAAACTTAATTATATTTTATGAAAAGATTGATGAATGTGGAAGAAGCGAAAGAGGTTTGTTTGAATCGAAGCATTTGGCGTTCCATTGTTTCTGCCTACCCTAATGGGAGACAGGCGTGACAGATATGTATGTATGTATGTATGTAAACTTAATTATAAGCATTTTAGGCCATTTAATAATAGAATAGGTCACCTCTTCCTTTCTCATGAATTCGTAAGATGTGATTAAGGAAAGGTAAAGGATAGGCAGCAGCGTTGCTCTTAAAATATTTCCAAAGCCTAATTGCGGTTGCTAATGCGCCTGCCAGGCGTGGCAACTATTGGTAAACTCTCTCAAGGAAAGGCTTATGTTCAGCAGTGGACTATTAAAGGCTATAGGCTTGTGTTATAGGCTTGTCTATAGGCGACGGTTATCGCTTTCCATCAGGTGAGCCGCCAGCTTGTTTGCCATTATAAGTTGCTTAAAAAAATAGGCATGAGCAGTATCATGGACATAACAGAAATATACTGTTTCGCTCATGATGTCCCCCATGAGTTGCCATTCCTGAGGACTAAGGTGTTATTCCTCTGCACCCTGTAAATTCACTGCCATATCCCACCCTTCAAATCGAAATAGAGCCGTGCAAACACACGCGACTTTTGCACAAAGTCTAATGATATGTAAAACTTTTCAAAATTTTGTATCGATAACATCATTAGTTGCTTGATAAATATAACGTTGTGACAGACGGACAGACAAAGTCGTACCATAAGGGTAACTCTGTACCTTTTTGACACGGAACCTTAATAACCGAAGCGAAGCTTATTTATTTACTATCTTTTATTATTTATAGCTTAAAGCTATAAATTAAAAAAAAAATGTGTTACAACTTTTGGTTGTGTAAACACAAATTCTTAAATTTTTACTTAAGATGAACAAATTGATTTTTATTTAAAAAAAAATCATTAACAGTTTTGTAAAGTGTTAGTGATTTTTATTAATATAGAAGTTTATTATTATGTTAATCATATTTGTGACTAGCTTTTTGCCCGCTGTTTTGTACAGAAATAGGGAAACCAACGAAATGAATCACTTTTAGATTGCTAATCGATATAAATCATACACCATTTGGAATCAACTTCCAGCAGCAGTATTTCCGAACCGATACGACAACATAACCTTCAAGAAAAGAGCATATTCCTTTTTAAAAGGCCGGCAGCACACCTGCAATGCCGTTAGTGTTGTGGGTGACCATGGGCGGCGGTAGTCACTTACCATCAAGTGAGCCGCATGCTCGTTTGCCCCCTGTGTTGTAAAAAAAAAAAAAAAAAATACACCAGGTTTTAAGTCGATTCTTAAGAAATATAATTCTAAAAATGCATGATGCCGGAACGAACATGCTTTGGCATCTATTAATCGTATAAATAGAAGGGGTGTTAATTTTTCTTAAATATCTTCTATGTACAGACATGATGTAGATACAATTGTATTATAATATTTCTAGATATATAGAATCACGATCAGTATTTTTTATTTATATAAAATTTGTTTTATAAGTACAATAGTATAATATTTTTTTATTATATGATATCTGACTTGTCCAGTAGAGAATGCTACTAGCATTAAGTCCGCCTTTTGTACCTTATTTTATTTTGTATTAGATTATGTTCAAGTCGATAACAAACATTCGATTAGAATTAGAATATTTAGTTTTAAAACATTATAATTGATGGCACTCGGAAGACTCCGTTGAAGGTTCCGTACTAAAATACATGTATTTGTAAAATTTCCGACTTAGTCCATCTGTCTTTTAGTCTCTCTTAGCGCATAAGCTTGTTCATGTGATTACATTTTTAACCTTATGTGTTACGAAGTGAAGTAATTTTAACTGGCATATAATTTACATCTATTTAATATCATTAATACAATAAATATGTGTGGACATAAATCTATTGAATATTTAATTATTAGAGGAAAGTTTATATTAAAATAAAATACAAATAAATTAATAGTCATATTCTAATGCATTATCAATGATTTTTCATCTCAGGAAATAAAAACTTATTTACAGATAATTTTACTCATGGAACACTCTTTGTTAGGATCTAATTCGTACTCGGTTCATTTTTACTTTATCGATTCCTATAACCCATTATGCAATTGTTTTTTGTTGCAGCCGCTTTCGGTACTAGCCAGCTCAGCCTCACCGCAGGAAACCATATGTGGCAGGTCGGGAAGCTCTATCACTACGATGTCAAATCCCATACCCTGGCTTACCAAGAAGAAGGCCCACGAACTGGAAGTGCGTTTAGAGCACGCTTCATAATCCGTGTTGTAGCTCCTGGCTATTTACAAGCTAAACTTGAAAACCCTGAACACACTCTAATACATCATGAGTTTCAAAACAATAACGAACTCCCAAAAGACCTTACATACCAACCTGTACCAAACCTGGATCAACATTTCGAGTTCTTGGTTGTTGAGGGTCGTGTCAAGTCTCTCAATCTGCCTTCAACTTTGCCTCTTTCCCGCGAGAACTTACTCAAAGGTCTGCTCAGTGCTCTGCAAGTCGATTTCTCTACCTATAGATACATACGTAGCTCTCATAACAGCTACGACAAAGACACCGATCAAGGACTATTCAAGAAGATGGAAACTGATGTTACGGGTGATTGTGAAACTCTCTACAGTGTCTCTCCAGTAGCATCTGAATGGCGTCGTGAGATCCCCCATTTTGCATCTGCTGATGAACCAATAGAGATAACAAAGAGCAAGAATTACCACCACTGTCACCACAGAGTTGACTACCACTTTGGAGTTCCAGAGGGGGCTGAATGGACTGGTACAGCCCATAAATCACACGAAGAACAATTCATAAGTCGCAGCACAGTGTCTCGTATTCTTATGGGTAAACAGGGCCCTATGTATAAATCTGAAACCACCAGTATCGTTCATGTACACCCTCATTTGTATGGCAAGCAAAAAGCTCGGGTACACAGTCAGGTCACTTTAAAACTGGTCTCTTATGAACAAGATAATGAAGAAGTTTGGCCTAAAATTGAAAGCGGTCGCTTTATTGAGAATTTATTATACTCTATATCATCTAAACAAATAACTATTAGTGACAGTTCATCCTCATCTTCTTCAGAGTCTAAAGAAATGAATTCTCAAGTTGAGAATGCTCAAAATAGAATGCGTCGTTCTTTAAGCAAATCTTTTCACATTGACAAGATGATTGTAAATCAGAACAATGAAGCTAGTTCTTCTAGTTCATCTATGTCTTCTAGCTCCAGTGAACAAGACTCTTTCATAAATGATGACATTCCTAAAATTAATGAACCTGCATATGCTGCATTATACATGACACCTCAAAACCGTGTTGACAAAAAACAGAGCATAATGAATGCTCAAAAACTTGTACAGGATATTGCTCAACAATTACAGCATCCTAATAATATGCCTAAAGCAGATGCACTTTCGAAATTCGGTATTCTCGTCCATATCTTAGCTTCTATGAGTTTAGAACAATTAACTCAGACTAGCAAAAACTTTGAAATCGCTATATCTTCCAACAACAATATTAAATCTGATATGTGGATGGTTTACCGTGATGCTGTAGCCCAAACTGGTACTTTACCTGCATTCCAACAAATTAAAGTCTGGATTCAGACTAAAAAATTACAAGAAGAGGAAGCAGCACAAGTGATCGCAAGTCTTGCTGGCACATTGCGGTATCCCACTAAGGACCTTATGTTGCAGTTCTTCGATTTTGCTATGAGCGATGAAGTGAGACAACAGAAACATCTCAATGACACAGCTTTAATTGTTGCTACTAGATTTATTAATAGAGGACATGTCAATAATGATACTGCTCATAACTTCTATCCTACTCACATGTATGGCCGTTTCTGTAGTCGACATGATCCATTTGTAGTCGAGAAGGTACTTCCCCGTCTTTCTCAAGAATTTAAAAACGCTGTGGAACAGGAGGATAGTAGAAAGGCTCAGGTATACCTGAAGGCAATTGGCAACCTAGGGCATCGTTCCGTTTTAGAAGTATTCGCTCCTTACTTGGAAGGCAAAATCCCTGTATCTACATACCTTCGCCGTGAAATAATCGAGCATTTGGATGTACTCTCATACCAGAAATGTCACTACACACGTGAGGTTTTATACAAAATCTTGAGAAATACCGCTGAACCTTATGAAGTGAGAGTTGCTGCTATACATAACATTATGATATCCAACCCAACAACTTCGATGATGATGGCTATGGCTAAAATGACTCATGATGATCCCAGTATTCATGTTCGTGCATCTTTAAAAACAGCTATTGAATCTGCTTCTAAATTGAAGAATATTCGGTATTTAGACCTGTAAGTAATTTATTTACTTTTTTTATTAAAAATTCTCATCATGGTCATCATATCAACCATTATCTGTCCACTGCTGAACTTAAGCCTCTCCTATAAACTACCATAAAGAACGATCCTGAGTCACCTGCATTTACTGACTTCCTGCAATACATTTGAGGTTGTTACTCCACTTAGGAGGGGCTCATACTACATTGCGTTTGCCCGTACGGGATTACAACTCAAGAGCCTTTCTTCATCATCGATTGTCGGTTCTTCGAGCTATATGATCAACCCATTGCCATTTTAGCTTACTTATCCTTTGGGCTATGTTGGCCACTTTCTAATGAATTTAATATTACATAGGTATTAACCTATACCTATGTGACATAAAATTAATTCCTTCCGGATTATTAACACATTAACTCATTATTACAATAAATAATTATTTCATTATGGAGATACAGTTACAATACTTTCTATTAAATGTTTGTGCATATACAAGTAGGTATTTAGAAATAAGTACGTTAGGACATCTTTTTAAATAAATTAAACGTTTTTGTTTAATTTTCCATAGAGCAAGAACAGCGAAAGCTGCAATGGGGATGGTGACGAAGGAAGAATTTGGACATCAGTACTCTAAAAAGAAACTCGATGACTATTATGATAAAGAATATGAGATGGGTATCTTGAAAGACTTGTCTACCATTGGAAGTCATGGCAGCTTAGCGCCTAATTATGTGAAATACTCTATAAAGAGTAAATCAAAAGGCTGGAACAGCAATAATCAGGTATCTGAAATTTAAGAATATATTTTATTTATCATATTATATTTAAAAACAGTAATATTCTTCTATTTTGTGATGATAATTTAACAGATTATTTTCTTTCTTCCAGATTTCAGCTTCATTCTCAAACGTAGATCAGTTTATTGATTACTTTAAATATCTTTTTAGTCAAATGTATAGAAAACAAGAAATGTCACAAGACCCTAACCACAAATATTCAGCTGAGAAAATCTCTGAAATGCTGAATATCAAATACAATGACTTCAAATCTATGGAAGCTGCTTTTTATTTAGAGATACTGAACCAACAAAGGTTGTTCACTTTCAGTGAATCAGATATAAAACAACTACCTAAATTTATATCACAGTACTTCTCCAACCTTAATAAGGGCATTGAGCAACATTATACGAAGATTTTTAACCAGCAACAAGTAGCTGTGATGTTCCCGGTGGCTATGGGTGTACCATTTATCTTTAAATATAAAGAACCTACAGTTGTTCATATTCAGGGCAAACTTAAAGGTCAACACAAAGAGGGCAAAGTGTTCGTTAAGAAAGAGATACACCTGACATATGCAAGAAACCTTGACGGGAGTGTTGGTTTTCTGGATACTATTTCTAATCAATATCCTTGTACAGGTGTAGTCAATAAATTGCAAGTAAATGTCCCCTTGAAGTTGCACTTAGGCATGAATTTACAAGAGGTACAACTCAGCTTGGAACCCCTACATCCCGATCAAGACTATAATCTTCTCCATTACAGCGTATGGCCGTATACCGCTAACCAAAAGAAAGATAGTCTGATTCCAGTTTCCCAGGATACCACTACTAAAGTTATCGATCGTGAATTCAAGACATCAAGCATTGACACTAAGTTTGGGCAATCCGTTGGCATGCAGTTCCAATTCCAAGGATACTCGTATTCTTCAGATTACAAGAACATGAAAAGCATGTGCAATTGTCGTAATTTGTTCGTGAACTTTGTTTCCGTACTCTCACAAAAGGATGTGGCGCTAACACATTACAACCTAAAATACCTCGCTAAACAAAGCCAAAACAAACGAGTTACTTTTACTGCGGTCCACGGTAAGTGTTAAAATTAGTTTTCTCGTTATCGTTATCCCATTGGAATAAACCTGTATATGACTAAATATATTCAAATGATTTAAAACTATTCAATAACTGGGACTGTCCGCTTAAAATTCTATTTCCTTTTTCAGATACATTCTACAATCAAAAACAAAACACGAAACAGGAATATACGGTATCTGATGTGGAAGACGTCAAACCAAACAGTGAAAGTCGCCGTAAAGAAATGCTCAATCGCGTCGTTCCAGATATCAACACTGCAAAAGTTATAGTCGTTGATTTAAGTGTCACCTTTGAGGGTACGCAACAAATAGAATACGTTTTTACATCTGCAACGGCCAAAAGTCCGATTGACCATAAAATTCACTTTACATTCTTTGCTGGTAGAAATTCTCCACAACATGGAAACCACCAAGTAAATGGTATAGGCATGCTCATAAAGCCAGAAATGTCTTTCTTAAACTTCTTTAAGGCTTTCGATAAAGAGATAAAGGCGGTATTTGCTTTTGACGTGAAGTACGGTCAAAATGGAAGCATTAATGTCAAAGGATTCTCAGAGCGCAGCAAAAAATATGAAGAGTTACTTAAAAATCATCCCTTGGCTAAGGTGTGCAAAGATCAGATGTCTCTGAACAATTACTATCAAGAAGCTTGCCACAAAATGATCGTGTTAGCTCACGCACCTGATTTCATGAAGGCGTCAGTCACATATAAGGAAATTAGTCCTCGAGTCAGAGGATTATTGAGCCAAGCTTACAAAATGTTAGAATATTTAGTTTACTTAAGATCAGAAACAAACCCAATGAAGGTCACACCTGATGGGAAAGTAGAGATTGCTGCTCAAATTTCCTATTTTCAACGATCTATGGATCTGGTTATAAATTCGAGAATGGGTGAACTGCACATTAAAGATCTTCCTATGCCAGAAGCGTCGGCTAATGCTCTTGCTTTGTACACACCTTTCAAATCGAATCAGCGTGTAAACAACTATTACACAAGTCATCAGTATTTGCGTAAGTAATTTAACTATATAATTAATAACAAGTATTATTAACTGATATTCTACAAGAGTTTTAAAGTTGTTATTGAACAATGGTGGTGTTATACTACGTGTGTTGCACGGAATCTCCTATATGATACACTAAATAAATTTTGTTTTCTTTTATATTTTTTTATGTAACTAACAATGGCAAACAAGCTGATAGCCAAAATACGACCTAATCAGCACCGCTGCTTCAAATTAAAATTAGAAAGCATAATTTTTTATGAATACAGAATTCGAAAAGTTGTTATCCGTTGAAAAGAGCCCGCAAGAAACTTAACAGTTATATACTCTTAATCTCTACAAACATAATGTGTATTTATTTAAATGTACTGTCTAAAATAACATGGGTCTTAAAAAGTTCATGCACGATCGACTAACACCATGCACATTTATCCTTCAAGTACTCATTTAGTGTGTAATAGGCTTTGGCCAATAAGTGTCTTTTAAAAACAGTTTTGAATTTATTAAAAAAACAGTGATTTCACTGCAGAAACACGAGTAGGTTAGAAATACCCAAGCTGATGACTTTAAATAAAGTCTCCCTTTCTTCAACTTTATATTTTATATATTATTTTTTAGCTTACTGCACTGTGGACGAGAGCAAAATTAAAACCTTCAGCAACCGTGCCTACGATTATAAACTGAGCAAGTCCTGGCACGTTGTGATGCTGAACATGCCTAGTGAACCTGAGTCCCACAAAGACAAACTGGTTGTCCTTAGCAGAAGACCGACTGAAAAGCAACAAGAAATATATATTTCTTACAGGTATACTTGTACACTGTTTTTATTTTAAAAAGTGATGTTTTTATAGGTTCAAACTTTTTTATGTAATCAAGAATGGCAAAGACATTCAAGCTCCACCTGAAGTAAAGTAGTAATAAACAGCTTTCAAATACAAATTATTTGAGTAGGTACGAAATATTCTAAATTATCATATCGGCAAAGTAACTGCCAGTGTTCATATTATTTTTTCTATGCTTATAATACTTAAGAGGATTCATAATATTTTTGATGAAATTCCTTATTTTTTCACACACTTTCAATAAATATGATTAAAAGGTTCTGTTAAACTATGGGTATTTATGCAAAAAAACCAGCAACTTTAACGATATAATTAATACGGGTGTAAACTTTATCAACTGTAAAAAGAATTATCTAAGTTGGTTTTTAAATTAGCGAAGATATCTCGTCAAGTACACACAAAAAACTGAAGATTGATAACATAAAAAAGCTTACTTCAATTGTGACAATTAGTAAAACAGTTATTTTAAAAACTAAACTATTTAATCAATTTTGATAGGATTTCTATGAGACCAATCTATAAGTATATCCTTTTGGATCAAAAATGATTTCCAAATCAGTTCAGAACTGATTGAGTTATAAAGTAACAAACAAAAAAAAATACAACCTAATTGAGAACATCCTTTTTTGGAGTTGTTTAAAAAATACAGGTAAATGGAGAATGTCGTCAAAATAAAGTATTTGAGAAACGAAATTTAATTTTATTCGTTTGATCAACAGGCCAAAAACTAGCAGTCTGCACTTGGAGGTCGAAATACAGCCACCAAAGGATGGTTTGAACAAGTACACCGTAAAAGTCAACACCAATTCCAAGAAGATCTCCGAAGGTGACCTCACCATCTACTGGGATGATGTCAAGGAAATCCCTCTTCTTCAGTACTATACTTACTCTGATGGTGTCCTGGTTCTGGACATAAAGGAAGAGCGTCTCCGCCTTATGTACGATGGTCAAAGACTTGTACTCTTGTCAAAGAAAGACCGAAAGACCAATAGAGGCATTTGTGGACGAATGACCGGAGCACCGCGTTTCGATTACCTCACTCCATTTGGACTTGTCGACTTGCCTGAACATTACGGCGCTGCCTTCTCCCTAGATGATGAAAATGCTGATCCAAAAACGAAAGAATTGCTGGAACAGGCCAAGAAAGTTGCTTACCAAGTGAAATATCAGTATACAACAATTTTGAATTCTAGCGTTGAATGGATGAACACCATGCAGTTAAGTTCATCATCATCATCATCTTCCTCGTCTGAGGATAAATCTAGTACGCACAATGTATACAGATCGAGGAACTATTCGAAACAGCGGGAGGAGTGCCAATTGAAGGAACAGGTGCAATATTACGAGAATCACGGTGAGATCTGCATATCAATCAAACCTATCCAGTCCTGCCAACAGCACTGTAATCCAAAACAGTATACGGTCCAATCTGTCGAGGTCATTTGCAGGCCTAAGATTGATCAACAATACAAGATGTACAGAGACGAAATACGCCGAGGTGGCAACCCTAAAGTGTCCGGGCTTTCTAAATTAGTTCAATACAGGGTACCTAGCGCGTGTACAGCGTATTAAATTAAGAAACAAAAATCTTGGTATGTTTTAATGGCTTTCTGAATATTTTACATAATGTAAATTTAATTGTGTATTATATACATATAGTATTATAAAGGATATTATCAAATTTATGTATTTATAGTATCAAGTATAATTATTAGTTTTATTAATTATGTAGTTTTATACTATGTGAATAATATATATATATATATATATATATATATATATATATATATATATATATATATATATATATTTATATATATATTTATATATACACGAGTATATATATATTTATTTATTATCATATGTTTAATGTATAGAATATATTTAATTACACATATATATAGTTATATATCATGTCTATATATGTATTTATATTGTATTTAATTATATTTTTATATTATCAATATGTATATATTATATATGTATATATTATATATTTATATTATTATAATCTCAGGTTTAGAATAGAGCAAAAGGCATAATGAAAAGTAAAAAAAATAATAATAATAAAATTACGTTTATCGTAAGTATAGATATAAAATTAAATAGTTTTATTTCTTTTTCATTTTTTTATTATGGCAAATATGGCCCACTGCGTTTAGATTTATAACATCCTTAAACTAATTTCTTAAATTCCTACCTCCTTATTCATAAAAACGTCAAACCTCTTATGAAGTTATTTTAGATATGAAATGTTTGGTTTTTTTTCTGTTGTGCTAATTTCTCTATTTGAAAGAGAGAGAGAGAGAGAAAACACTAACAGTTAAAACAGTATTTATGAATAAGGGGGTTATATTATAAATCTTTTCTCTTCACTGTAGTAATAGCTAAAAAAAATATATTGTTTTATCTGTGTTAATATTAAAAATATTATACAAAGGGAAAATAGAGGATAAAAAAGGAAGGGAAAGACCGATAAATAACTACATGAAATAGATCATAAAAACACTTGGGGACATGTTATACAGAGATTTTAAATATATAGCCTGGAATAGAGCTGACTGGAAGAGATTACATTGTACATGAATTAATTGCTCCGACAAGAGACAATTCTTAAATAATATAAAAAATGTTATAAATACTAAAATGAGATGTTTATTACCTTTTATCACCTTAACAAATTATCCAATTTTCAGGATTTTTTTTATTGTTTCTGAATATGTATATTATTATGTGATGATATTACAGTATTGTGATAGGCATTTTATATAACGTTTTTCGAACTAAACTAAATATTACTAAATAGTATATGTAAATTAATATTATTCCAAGAAATATATATTTTAAAATTTAAAGCCGGTTTTGTATTCGAGAAAAAGTAAGAAAAAATTTATAACTCTATACATATTGTTCCTTTGCCTTACACATTTTGACAGCTTACGACAAATTTAAAAAATGTGTACTAGGTTAGAGATGTACATGCTGTAATGCGTGTACGTTTAATATAATAGTTAAATGAAACGTTTTAACGATTTTTTTTAATCGGTGAAAATGGCATGGCGGCCCCGTCTGTGCTATCGGTATACGCTGGCGGGGCACCAGTGAGGGATGATAGGTGAGAATGAAAAGGCAGCCCAGTTAGCCCACTGTGACGAATTCAAGTCACGATAGTTTCCAGGGGGATCTGCGCCACGTGGAGGACGACCTGATAGGGTATATTGATAGCAATGGGGACTACGCTCCCCATTACTAACAATCTCTTCCCCCCATTTTAACGGTTACATACTAATGCTTAAGCATGTTATTATTTTTTATTATCAACGCTCAACATTAATCTTAAACATTACACGTATTAACATAGAATAAGGTAAATTGCAACGGATAAAGTGTTTGTTGCATTGTTTAAAGTGTTACCAAATTCGTCATTTTAATATTATTAAAATATTTTGCAAATAAAATTATTTGTGATAGTTATGTCACTAACGCTTACGTAACATATCCATTACTATTGCAATACACATATTTACCCATAATATTAACAACAAGCGTTAAAGAAAAATTTTACTGTATTTAATCAAATTAATTTTTTTTTATATATAATATTTTACCTCTATATGAATAAAAATAATACTTAAAAATCATGTATTTGTTAGGCCAATTTCGAAAATCGTTCAACCGATTGTAATAAAACTTTGTAAATATGTATTCTATGTTCCAATTTAAGTGAATTGATAGTTTCCAGGTTAAAAATATGGTTATTTTATTAAGCATAACACTTAATTTATTAAGCATCTTATTTCGGTGTACATCTCTAAATGTTATAAACAGCTGTTTGTCAAATTGACAATTCGTGTTGTCATTTGTTGTCGCTCAAATCGAATTATACAAAATTTGCTGAATTTTCTTAATTTCTCTACTCCTGGATATAATTAATAGTGCACAAGCAGTGTCAGTGTTTTAATCTGTCATTGAATATCAGCAATGCAGTGATTTTACAGTTCATTAGGTGTTAATAATATTAAATTCGGAATTTAAATTCTGAATTTGTTTTCGGCCAGTCTCATCAATATTTGTAAGTAGATTTAAAAATATTATTTATTTTTTATTATTTACTATAGAGTATCAGCTGTAATTACTGTAATTAGCAGCAATTGCTTGCTGAGTTACGAGTGATTTAGTAAAAAAAAACAACAAATCTTTAACCTTTTGTCCGCTAGGCTTTGTGGCAACGTTGTTAGATTGAGTATTTTATTATATTGCAATCTTGAAAGTTCTAAAAATCTGGGTAGGTTAAAAGATTAATAATTAAGAAGAAAATTATAATTTCTTTCAGTTTGAATTTTCATTTATTGTTTACTAAAATACAATAATTCTTATATATCCTAATATACGAGGTCTGTCCGGAAAGTTCGTATAAAAGTGTTCTGGAATGCGAGAAAGAGGAGTGGGGAGGCCAGGTAAGCGCAGGACCCCTTCCTTATGTCCCTAACAATGCTTCAGTTCTGGTCTGACCGCCGTGCGGTGCGAACTGGCTTGTCACGCCATCTGTGAAGTTACCTCTTAACGAAACCCCGTCGGCATGGAGCCCGCTTCCGTTGAAGAGCAGCGCGTCGTAATCAAGTTTCTCTCGAAACTCGGCAAGAATGGCCGTGAAATTTTTGCCGATCTCAGAACAGTTTATGGGGATGATGCTGTGAAGGAACCAACCGTCCACAAGTGGCTAAAAAGATTCAGAGAGGGCCGAGAAAGCGTTCAAGATGACCCACGTTCAGGACGTCCTTCCACTTCACATTCCGACGAAAACGTGGAAAGAATTCGAACTTGTGTTAATGGGGACCGTCGTTTAACGGTCAGACAGGTGGCTGAAGAGCTTAATTTGGGCAAAAGGGGCGTGGTCCACGAAATTCTAAGAAACGACAAATGAAAAAAACACCTCCTTGTTGTCCGTGAGTTTTTGAGTAAAAATTCCATTACGGTGACCGAACACCCCCCCCTATTCGCCGGATTTGGCCCCGTGTGACTTCTTCTTGTTCCCAAAAACCAAATTGGTACTTCGGGGGCGGCATTTGGGGGACATAAATGAGATAAAAAAAGCTACGGCGGGGCAGCTGAGAAACCTACAACCAGAGGACTTTCAAGGAGCCTTCTCACAGTGGAAACGGCGTTGGCACAAGTGCATTATGTCACAGGGGGAGTACTTTGAAGGGGATAAAATTGATTTACCTGAATAATTGTAAAATAAAATTTTTAAAAAACTTTTATACGTACTTTCCGGACAAACCTCGTACATTATTATTTTTTTTTTTTTAATTTTTTGAATGGGCAATATTAAAACAAAATTTGATCGTTTTTTTGTAAATTTTACTCTTTTCACATGTCTTTGACAGTGCGTGGTCACCATAATTATATATTTTCTTATACAGTTTCAAAATGAAATCCTTAATACTGCTGACATACTGGCAGTCCCATATTTTAGACTCTTTTATGGACATGATTCTAAAAATGAATTTAAAAAATGTATGGATTCTGATAATATTATTTGCGTGACAGAGATTGCAATTAGAGGAAGTATTTTCAAACACTGGGTTCAGAAACTGATCTCTCTTTATTGTCAGGGTGTTAAGGTCATAAATAGGTGTACATCCCCATGAGATGCTATGTTGGTGACTGTGGTAGCTTTCATTTCACTACATAGTTATAGAAGCTGTCAGAAAGTACTCTTAGGGGTACCCCCAGTGGGTATCCCTAAGGGTACTTTCTGGCAGCTTCATATTCATAATATATTGATATTTTTTTATTTGCAAATTTTATTTGGAATTTTGTCCTTGATTTTATAAATAAATAATTTCAAAAGAATACATATTCTTGTGCCAAAATGTTAGCCTTCTTTTAAGGGAGTATTTTCTAGTAAAACTGAATACTCGCTAAAGAAATGTGGGTTGAAAATGTTAGAATAGAATAAGTAGTTTATCTATGTTGTATGCATATATAAATCTGTGGTTAACACTGTGGTTGTTTTATCTGTGCCTCCTGCTCATTCTCTTTGCTATGCATTACTCTTCTGTACTTAAATCTGTATTAATTTTAGAAATTAATCAAAAAGGTGCCACTATTATTTAAAATAGAATATCTTCCAATAAGAAATTTTAATAGAAAGGCATTTAACAGAAATAGACTATGGTAACCGCTTACCATTAGGTGGGTCGTATGCTTGTTTGCCACTTCAGTGGTATAACAAAAAAAAAAAGCAACAAAAACATTTCTGCCTCATATATCAGTCAAAACAATACACTCAGGAGCTGTATACCTGAAAAGGGTTTGTTAGTAATGGCATGTACAGCCTCATTGCTAGCAATATATCCTATCAGGTCGACCTCTATGTGGTTCTCCCTGGAAACCACTAACATACAAAGTTATAATAAATGTATTTAACCTGACTCTAGATATTTCTGAGCTGCTTCTAATATCTCTGGCAGGCTACTACTAAATATATCAATGATGTTTATAATATTATTTAATAACCGAACTGTGTAAACTAAGGTGGTGTGCTGAAGTAGGTTAGTTCTTACTGGCGGGACACCATTTGTAACTGGATGACGGCACACACTAACATAATCATTCACAATGAGCCAACTGAGCTGATTTCATCTTCACCTATCATCTTTCACTTGTGCCCCACCAGCATATATAAATAGTACATGTGGGATTACCATAACATTTTCATGCATAAAAAAAAAGAATTAAACATTTCCATCCTTCAAAATAAAAAAAAGGAAATTAATCACTTAATATACCTACTAACACATTGTACTAAATTAAATATTAAGGTGACTAAAACAAATGGTATATTATTACATTAGATACTAGTGATCAAGCCCCGCTTTGCATGGATAGATGTAATGTAAATAGGACTCCATTTTCCGCATTTAGCCTTTCATTTGGGCCATTGTGGGTATGAGTTATGGCTAGTATAGCCAACCTAGCTCCGCCCAGAAGCGCAGAAGCTTCCTTGGATTTTCACAGGCCTCACGGAGCAACCTCACCTCACGAGGATTTCTAAATGTTGATGGGCCACAGCTTCACATTCCAGGATTACATGAGCAGCCATTACTTCAGCGTCGAAACAGCCTCGACATATAGGGCTGTCTGTGGCTCCTATTGTGTATAAATGTTTGTTTAATGGACAATGGCTCGTTATTGTCCCTATCATGCATGGATAGATATAATTTTCAGAAATAATATACCTATGTTACCAGCTGATAATGTAGCTTTCTTTGGATGAAATAATTTTTAAATCTAATTGTTAGTTTTTGACTATAAAAATAGATAAAGTCTATGATAGTTATACTCTGTGATAGTTTGGTTAAAACAACCTTAAGACTTTCTTTAACAACGCCTGATAAAAAAAAATAGCAATAATTTCTATCTAAACGTTTGAATGATTAACAGGCGCTTATATTTTTAATCGAAACGTGGTTCAAAATTCATGGTTGTAATACACTATGCAAGTAAAATAACAGTAGAATAATAGTGATGGGTTTGACTTTGATAAATGATCTTGATAATTCGGATAAAAATAATAATAATGCAGTCCATTAAAGATGAAATCACATCATTTGGTTCGTTGTGATGAATTCGCAATAATGGTCCCTATTAAGAACCCAGTAGAGATCAATCTGGCAGGATACATTGCAAGCAATGGGGCTTTAGTTCCACTGATAACTAACAATATCTTTTTGGGGGAGGTGAGGAAGGGATTGTTAGTAATACAGGCTACCAGCCCCATTGCTGGCAATACACACTGTCAGGTTTACCTCCACATTGTTCCTCCTGGAAACCATCGTGCTAAATTCCAGATGTATTCATCACGATAGGCTAACTGAGCTGCTTTTTCATTCTTACGTATCATCCTTCACTGGTGCCCCCTTAGTGTATACCTTTAGCGCAAGCGAGGTTACCATTCCATTACCATCCACAAAATATGATTAGTATAGGGTTTAATATCCAGTTTTACTAATTTAATCTACTTTATTTTCTTTAGTCACCTGAATTTACTGGGTACAGAGAAATAACACCTGAGTCCTCAGGAATGGCAACGCATGGTACTGCTCATGTCTATAGGCGACGGTTATCACTTTCCATCAGGTGGACCGTCAGCTTGTTTGCCATTCTAAGTTGTATAAAAAAAAATATTTCCTGAGGTTTAAATGGAATGGAATGGAATGATAAGGACCACAATGTATTCTTAATTCGTCATCACTAACGCAATGCAGGCAATTAATTTATCAGGCAGACAATTTTATCACTGAGATTATGTATATTTATTATATTATTTATCCGACTGCGACTGCGGGAGAGGTATTTATTTTGGCAGTCTTTGTCTGTCTATGTAGGTAGCGTCCCGATCATTGCTTTTAGATGGAGTCTCATCATCATCATATTAGCCTTTAACTGTCCGCTGCTGAAGATAAGCCTCCCCCTATAGGGTTTTACCAATAGTGGGAAACCGCAGTAAGGATTTTGAAATGTTTTAAGAGGGATGCTGCTGCCCATCCCTCGCCCTCCCTTAGTCGCTTTTGTAAGTGTCGTAAGTTTTTAATATTGTAAGTGTCGTAAGTTTTTAATATTGTAAGTGTCGTAAGTTTTTAATATTGTAAGTGTCGTACACTTACAATCTTTGGAATTAACTTCCAGCAGCAGTATTTCCGAACTGATACGACAACATAAACTACAAAAAAAGAGCATATTCCTTTTTAAAAGGCCGGCAGCACACCTGCCATGCCGTTGGTGTTGTGGGTGATCATGGGCGGCGGTAGTCACTTACCATCAGATGCGCCGCATGCTCGTTTTCCCCCTGTATTGTAAAAAAAAAACAACTCACGGGAAAGGAAGGGATGGTCTATTCTATGCGGGGACTACACAGCCTTAGATGAAGTCTCAAGTATCAAGAAACATTAACAATCAAGCGATTATTGACTGACACATTTTTACTGTACAATATAGTCTGACAGTGCAATATTGATTCTTACTAATAACTACATTACGAGTGTCAACCAAGCTGACATACCATTT